GGCCTCACCTGCCCGGCTCCTGGTGCCCCATAACCTCACCTGCCCAGGTCCTGATGCCCCAAGCAGACACCCAGCAGCACGTTGCACACGAAGCTGTCCCGGTTCCCCGCGCTGTCACTCAGGATCTTGCCCAGCATCGAGCAGTTAATGCTGTGAGCAGAGGGATCCTCAAGCAAATCCAGCATGAACTCCAGGTCCCACAGCAAGTTGGAGTTTGAGGGCTGGATGTTGCTGTAGATCGTCTGCTTCACCTTGGAACAGGCCCTGCTGAGGAGCAAACACAGAGAGGAGCCAAAGGCACCTTGCAGAGTGTGCTGGACACACCACGGGGGATGAGACAGTCCTGGCTGGGTCACCACTCCAGGCATATCTGCAAACTCATTTTGGATAAGGAGCATCTGCCAGATAACAAGGCTGATATATAAACTTTGTTCAAGTTTTCCTACAGATAAAGTCTCGAGTTTCCAAATCTCTTCTTGGGCACTGTGAGCAGCTGGGTAAGGCCCAACATCCTCCCCCCCAGCAGCATCTTCCTGGGGCATCAGATGGCCCTAAGGGAGTATAACCACCCTTCCCAACATCACTCTCCCATTCCCATGGGAGGTGCAATGGGGCAGGGGAAATTTATTAAGGCAAAATGAGAACATTTATCTCAATTAAAAACTACGTTTGATGATAATGTGACATAACAGACAACATTTGGAAATCAGTAAATAGGGAAAAGATGCTCAGAGGTCATATATTGACATTAATAATTAGACAAAAGGGCAAGAACTGTTCCAGGCCATGAACACCTCTGTGTCAAGCAGTTTTCTTCAGGGGAAAAAACGTGTCAGTGAGGAATGCAAATTTCACACCCAAAATGTTCTAAGGAGTGTTTGTCTCCAGGATGGGGTTTTTATACCACATGGACAAACTTCACTAATTAGCCCAACTGGGAAGACTTCCTCATTACTGAAAAGAATCTCTTAATTTAAATTAACTTAAAACACGTGAAAATTTTGGAGTTTTTTAGGACTCCACCAGTCCCAGGACGAAAAGAGAGAGGAAACACTGGATGGCCTGGAAGGCAGCTGGGAGCTGAGGGAGCAGCACCTCTGGCCAGGGGCTGGGAGGGCAGCACCCTGTGACTGTGCAGCCCCTGGGACCCCCCGTCACTGCCAACCCTGGGGACACCTTGTCCCTGCTGCCCTGGGACCCCTCACTGCCTGCCCGAGGCCATTAGCGGGGTAATTAATTAGAAGGAGGGCAGTGCCTGACATTAACCCTCTGCTCTGACAGCAGGGACAGAAATCCAGTGTGTGGAACACAAACAGCTCTCACCAAACCCACCAGGCACTGATGGGCACAGGGCTGGCCCTGGCACCCCCACACTGCCCTACAGCCACCCCAGCACTGCCCTACAGCTGCCCCAACACTGCCCTACAGCCACCCCAGCACTGCCCTACAGCCGCCCCAACACTGCCCTACAGCCACCCCATGGCCACAGAAAGGGAGCCCCAAACCCAACCAGCACTGAGCAGCCTCTGAGACAGCACTTGCACCACAAGCAGTGCTGGGGGAGTGGTCAGGAGATAAGATTTAAAAAAAAAAAAAAAAAGTGAAAGAATGCTTTAAAAAAAAGGAAGTTCAGGGAAGATTAGTAACTGTTCCAGGCACACAAAACCAAACACTCTGTGCCCTCAGTGACACCCACTCAGGAGACACTGGAGAGGAGACCAGAGCACAGCAATGCACGGGGGGTGAGTCTCTAAATGTGAACATTTATGAACTGTAATTTATCATGGCTTCAAATCGACTGGGTCAGCTGGGCTTACAGCAGGAGAAAAAGGAGCTTGAAGTGTTACTGTGAACATCCAGCTGAGTTGGGTGTTTCAACTGAAGCAAGGAAACCAATAATCAAATTAATGTAATGCTATTACCTTACCCACAGCTGTTTAAAAATGTATATATAAATTCTATTAACAGTTTTCAGGAATTTCTAAGTCCATTTGTCCAAAAAAGGGTGCTTCAAAACAAGCGTTGTGTATCACGTATTTAATATATGATTTAATACCTCGTATATCTATATATTGCTAGATGCTATTTTGATTTGCTATTATAGGTTAGTATTAATAGAAATGCTAATTTTATTGTGCTACTAAAACTTCAGGTTTTAAGCAGGAAAATGAACATAGAGCTAAGATATTTCTGTACTTTTTCTATATTTCTTATTTCTTTTTCATCACGTTTCTCATATTAAATGGTACTGTTCCCATGTATCTGTAAACCTGTTAAAATATTAAGATTATTACTGAGAACACCTTTCCTGCTCCCTATGAAATGAAACCACAAATCTGAACTGTGCAAACCCAAACCAGGTACACAAACCAGGAGGGGAAACAGCAGCTGAGGTGGTTTGTGGCTCTCACAAGATGTGGATTTACATGTGAAAGGTTTCCATTCCCCCTTTAAAAAGTAAAAGCCAAAAATACAGTATATGGAAACCTAACGTTTTTTGAATTTAAAAATCAGGGAACTGAACATTCAAGCATGAAACTTCACAAACTCCAACATGTTTGTGCCTCTCCCCACATCAAAGGAAGCGTTTACAGAGCGTTACAAACGCGGCAGCTGAGATTTTGTGGGTTTTCCAGGCAGCACTGTCTGTGCTGCACCCGAGGGGCTCCAGAAACCCCAAAGGACCCCCCAGCTCACAAGGGCAGCGGGGTGAGGGGGTCTGATGCCACGGGGCGAAGCTGCACTGAGGGGGTCCCGGGGCTCAACCCCTGCTCCCCGCAGCAGGGACCGGCACAGCCCCGGGAACACACGGCCTGGGACCGAACATCCCCCGGGAACGGGACCGAACATCCCCCGGGAACG